ATTCGAATATAACATATGAAGAAGGCGTGATGTGTTACTGGATAAATGCCAGAGAAGATATCTTTAGGCGTATATTTGAACTAATATGATTTTGAAAATGAGCAGAAAAATGTATACTGCTCATATAATTCTATTTGCGCAGTGTGAAGTTTGCAGTCGGCTAAAAAAGCGCATATTTAGGCGAGCATCTTGACAGGTTTGAAATGCTATAGGATTGTTCCACAAGAAGATCGGTATGAAAACACAACCTAAGTATTCTTTTAAAATCGTGAATGAGCTTCAGAATTCTGGATGGCATTTCGTGAGATTTTTCACTGAACAACAAACTGAGCCTACTATCGGCTTTTTTCGTATTCTTAAATAAATAAACGTGCAAAAGTAAGCGGTATCTTCAATCTTTACACGTTGCTTATTTTTTCAGTTTGCTTACCTTTGATCCAATTATAGTGAACGTTTTTCCGGTTCCTGTCATTCCGTAGGCGAATATGCTGCAGTTGTATCCATCAAAGCAGTCGTTTATAGCACATTCACCAATTAGCTTAAAAACCTTTTACAATTACAAGCATCTTTCAATGACCTACAGTTTCTTGTCCATATGCTATTAGAGTGCTTGCCGTGGGAGCCGGAAAGATAAAATCAAACCCATATTTTCTGTCCCAAAGAAAGGTCTGCACATTGTTTGTATAGATGATATACTAACCCCCTTCTTCTTTCCGTCGATAACTTTAACATAATTTCCGCGGACATTCACGACGTACTGTTCTTCTCCTTCGCTTGAATTATTTTAAAATCAGGAAAAGGTCAAACAAACCTGGATCGAAAAGGGCGAATACGCAGAGCCACTACAAGGTTGGCCATCCAAAATTAAATAGACAGGGTGCAGGAAAGGCTCTGTAAAAATCAACAACAACATGGTTTTAGAAGAAAAAAATGTAACTAAAATGTACGAATGGTATCGAGCCTGTATTTGATATTGTAACTGGAGCAATCAAATTTGTCCATGCGATTAAAACAATGCCCTCCCAAAGACCAATTTTTTCAGGTTATACTGATCGACAATGTTCCTATGTTAAATATGGTCTTCAATTTAAAATCGATGCAAAGAAATGAAATATACGTGAACTTTTTTAGAAAAGAGGTAATTAGCATTAACAGAACATGGAACCAAGGTAGCATATTAACTTATAGTGCGGCATAGAACAGAGGCGTTCTAACATAAGCAAACTGTACAGTTAACAGAAATCGTTTTATTCGTTGTTTGGCAGAAAAACCAAAAGCAGGTTATAAACAAGTCGTAATCTGTTCATAAATGTTGTTTTTGGCTCTGGTTGTGTTTAAATGATATAACAGATTTTGCCCAGCAGTGTGCCATTGTTACGCGACTAAGGCCTTTTTAACTTGCATGGTGTCTTCGTTTTAGATTTTCTTTTCCACTTATGTACGCTTTAATTCATTTTATCTGTAGGTTTCGGATTATTTGACTTGTTTTCTTAATTTTTTGCATGTGAAAACTGTCTGGTGATTTTTTTCTTATTCATCACAGTAATGTGATTTTAATTACTTTGTTCATAGCCGTCTGTGGAGCAGAAATTAGCGTGCTCTTTGGGTTGAAACCCTTTTTGTGCGGTACTCATTTCGGAGTAAAAAAATGACAAAAGCCTATGAGCTGAAAAATTAAAGCGTTTCAAGTCGTCCCTTATATTGGTACAATTCCAACGACATGTTAACGCGCTAACGCTATTGAGTTTAAATATACTCAGAATAAACAGATATTACCCGGCTGTAAACCCCCTTGTCTAAACTTACGATGTGCTCTATCGTAGTAGGCTCAACCCAACATGGAATAATAGAAATAAGATCATCTGCGCCATCATAATAATCCTGGAGTATTAGTTATGCGGGCATTTGCGCACCTCATATGATTAATTAATCCATCTCTACACATGTTATATTTCCAAATGAGGCATAAACCCCTAATAACATTCTTCTAATAACCTAGTGCCAATTATTGCCAGAAAATTACCGGTTCCACATTACATTCAATCTAGTCTACTAAACGCACAAATAAATTGATTCAGTCGAGTTTTTTAGAACAGGAAACCCAAATCTAGAGGAAACGTTTATGAAATTATCTGTATAGGCGAAGACATAGAAAATAGACCCAATATGTCTTTGCGATGGACAGACAGTGTGAATTAATTTGCGTAGTTTTATTATTGTTAGCGTTACTTTTTATCGTGCGTCCTTTGAAAGCAAATTGAGAGATTGCATAATTGACAACAATATTAGCGTATAAAAACAACAAAAGTAAGGATGATAAGAAACCTTTGGATTACATTATTCCTTTGTCTTCGTTTGTAAAAACAAAATGAACAGGAAAGCTTAAAAAATTTCCGAAAAGTTTGCAAAACAATTGTATTGCACGGATACCTCACTAGATGCCACCATCTATATAAAGTTCCATTACACATATTGGACGAATCCAAACAACTTTGAGAGCCAGTCATTTTATTCTATACATGGGGCAGACCTCCGTTATATGTCATTTTGCTTGTGGGTAAAAATAGCAACTAGTAGCTTCAAATGCATCCGAGGTTCTGGTTGTTGTTTAAGTGAGTAAATCACAAGTCCATGCCAGCATGAGGAAGTGATTGTCCGAGTCACCCGTGCACTGTTTAGTAGGCAGACCGTCCTGCTGGTTTGAATGAGGGACTTGCTCCGGGCTAACGTCTGCCGATATGATGGGGCAGGGTGGAGACAGGGTTGTTTTTCTGTTTTCTGGACGGTTGGTCTTGGATCTTGCCATCACGCGGACAAACAATATTTCAAAAGAAAAAGGGATGTTCTAAAAAACTAGAGAAAGTCCAAGGCGCTAGCGATGTGTTGGTGAGAAGATGGAGATACAGAAATGGGTTACAAGAAGCATTACATGTGCCGGTAAGTTTCTCGAACAGAAGGGATGGGGAAAACTCTTGGAGAGTAAGGTTATGATTCAGAGGGTATAACATCCACCGATTACTGCTTTGTATCCGGACTTAATCAACTGTCCTCGTCTGAAAACATTAAAGGAGAAGAAACACACTCAACCCTTGACACTTGGTCTCTTGTATTTTTATTCCGCTTGCCCCTTCTTCTGTCCCTTTAAAACAAACTTGCCTTTTCGGATCTGGTGGTTGGTCTTGGAATACTGTTATATCAATAAGGACTGAGCAAGGTCAATTTGTTCCTCCTGCACTATAGACACATGCGGTGCAACCTGTTGTGGACATTCCGCACTATTTGCGGGTTTGACCGTTCGCTCAAATCTGAAGGTCTCTTTGAGTTTTCGAACATGATGTACGTGCGCAGACATTCGTACAAGGTCAAACGCAATTGTACGCGCCTGGACAAACGGAAGCATTCCGTCATTTAAGGGGCAAATCGGCCGTAGAACTTACTCCCAAGTGGAATAGTGACATTTGATACTATGGTATTATTCAAAAGGTATTTGAATTCTTCGATATTTGATATCACACAACTCTGACCGCAAGGCTATTTACGGGCAGCCAACAATTTCACTTCTCGATATACTTCCGTACTTTGTGTCGGATACTTGTCTCCCTACTATTAATTTTCCTCCTGCAAGTATTTACAAGCCGATAAACAAGTTTAATAACTTGCACGCAGTAGGAATTGGCAACATCACTAACTCTCTCATTAAATAGCTAAGAGATTTTCATCCTCTGCTGAGCAAACTATTTTCATTCTCGAAAATGGTCTCTTTTTGGATTGCTGGAAAACTCCTAGCATTATTCTGGTATTTAAATTTGCCTATTGTTCTGATGTTCAAAACTATCCGGGCGTCTATAGTACTACATCCGTTGCCAAAATCTTCAAAAAAATATTGCCATGAAAATTGCTGACTTTCGCATACCCAATGAGGTTATATGCCTTCCGCAATATGGCTGTTTACCCGATCGCTCTTGTAAATTGTGTCATAAGTCTTTTCTCGGTCTACTTACTTTTCATCTGAATGGTCATTTGTCTGTGGTCGTTAGTTATTTTTATACTCCCACAGCCTTTGATAAAATACCATATAAAAACTCTTAGTCAAAATTAAGCCTAGGAAACATCGCCGTCCCACTATTGATGTTATTAGGTCAGACCCTAATAATCGTATTGGGATCTTTATTTTCCCATAAGAGCTCTATTGAAACTGGTGCCATCCAAGGTACCGTGTAAGGTCCTCTTTCGTTTTTGCCTTACACTGATGACATCACGTTGGCAGTTACATATGCTCAAACTTTTATTTATGTCGATGATCTCAAATGCGCATATTCATTCTCCCAATCTAAAATACAATATAACCAATGGAAGAGAATATGCGCATCCCAGGTTCTTGTTTAAAAGAAGGCGAAGGCAGGATCACTAGCGCAGTAAATTTATTTGTCTGAGCTTTCGAACTCGAACTGGCGTTCATCATCAGAGACTTCTTAACTGCTGCAAATTTTGAACATTTATATCGCTCGTCCTTGCGGGGGGGAGGGAGAGTACGTCCGTGGCTAGGTAGGGTTTGTGCCACCTGGTTCACGATGGTTCCCCGGCGTGGTGACGACGTTTATATTTTGCGACGGTGTGAGCTGCGCAACCTGACTGCGTGGGCGGAGCGCGTGATAACACGCAGGCAAATCGATGTGTCTGTTGATAGAGTTGGTGTCCGACACCCACGCCTCCAACAGCTCTCGCTCTGCCTTGTTGCCGGCTCGCGCCAATATCCGCGTGTTGGCGAAGCCGAACTCATGGCCTTCCTCCAGCGTGTGAGTGGCTACTTGAGATAGTGGGTCGCCTCTCCGAACGGCCCGTTTGTGCTAAAGTATTCGTGAGCTGAGACGTCGTCCTGTCTGGCCTGTGTAGTGGCAAGGACAGTTTTGGCACGGGATTTGATAGACTACGTCTGACTGTTCACCTGCGTCCAGTCGATCCTTCATTTTCATGATTCTGCTACGCATGGCGGCCGCCGGATGATGAGCGATGAACAACTGCGCTTTCTACATAAGTGCGTTCGCGACGGACTGACACCGAAGAGCCTCCGTTATAAAGCGCCAGTGAACACCGAATTGGGCCGATGCGTCGTACAACGCTTCCGGAAGCAAATGATAAGAGTGCTGATCAACGACTGCCACTTACGCTTGCGCAAGTACCGAACGGTCATAGAAGAAAGAAGGGCGGAGTGCACGGCATTGCTCGACGAATCAGTTACCGAGTGTTTGGACCGAATAATATCAACCGTGGCAAAAGCGAGACAGGAAGTGAAACGCATGAATCTAGATCAAAAAGCCGTCAAATTGAAACCGGAAATCAATACCAACGAAAATGTAGTACACAACTTATCGTCGAAGCAGTTAAGCGAAACGGAACTCAGAGTGCTGATCCACGAAGCCAATTTTAACACTGCTGATGCCACCCCAGCTGACTTCATTGCCGCAATTGAGGCCATGTTAGTACGAACTAACTCAAGCGAAGAGGATAAACGCACGGTGTGCCAAAAGGTTACCTCTCTCCTGATGACGAACAGGCACGCTAGCAATATGTCATCCGCAGAAATAGAAGCAATGAAGAGATTAAAAATGGACAAATATATTATGGTACTACCGGCCGCCAAAGGAAGAGCAACAGTTGTGATGAACCGCGTTGATTACAAGGAGAAGGCAGAAGACCTCCTGGACGACCAACAATCCTACAGGTCCGCACCCGCCTCGCAGGCCAAATCGGGGATTGGCCGGCTGACTGGACTCTTAAGCCGACTCCGGCGCAACAACGTAGTCTCGTTAGACGAATGGCGCCAGACAAAACCAACCGACACTGCGTTGGCCAGGTTCTACGAACTACCAAAAATTCACAAACCCAACGTTCCTCTTCGGCCAATCGTTGCCCTAAAAGGCAGCGCCCATACAATTTAGCCAAATGGATGTCCCGAAAGCTCAATTTTCTCCGAGAGGGCTCTGTGACGTCCGTCAATTCGGCCTCCCAATTCCTTGCCGACATTCGGGTAAAAATATTCGACTAGACCAAACCATGGTATCCTTCGATGTTGCCTCACTTTTCACGTCCATCCCACCAGACTTGGCGCGCGACGTGCTACGCAAACGCCTCGAAGGAAAGTACGACGAAACGACAGGGCCGCTAAAGATCCAGCACCTAATGCAGGTCTTTGCATTCTGCCAACGAACCTTTTTCACCTTCGATGGCGGAACATACGAACAAATCCAAGGAACACCCATGGGTTCCCAAATATCCAGCCTAGTTGCGCAATTGGTCCTACAAGAGCTGGAAAAGTTTGCTTTCAGCCATTACAAACCTGCGTTTTGGCGACGATACGTAGACGATACATTCGTCATTATTGATAAGGACAAGCTATCGGGTTTTCAAGACTTACTTAACAGCATATTCCCAGACATTCAGTTTACAAGAGAAGACGAGGAGGACGAGAAAATATCCTTCCTGGACGTGCTCGTCACGCGCACACCTGACGGTGAGCTCAGAACTACAGTATACAGAAAGGCGATCACTAAAACCCAGGTCCTCAACTATCATAGCAACCACCCATTGGTGCACAAACGGGGCTGTTTAAGGGCGCTTTTCAACCGAATAAAAACGCACTGTAGCGAGCCCGAAGGAGGGATGCATGAACGACGGCATCTCCGGGACCAATTAACAAAGAACGATTAACCAAATAGTTTTATCAGTCGCTGTATACGCGGGCACCCACGCCGGACAAACGGAAGAGAGGAACCAAAAATCTGGCACTCCCTACCTTACATAAAGGATGTGTCCGAGGCTACAAAACGCATTGCGTCAGAGTTAGGCGTGGGCATCGCTCATCATCCGGCGGCCGCCATGCGTAGCAGAATCATGAAAATGAAGGATCGACTGGACGCAGGTGAACAGTCAGACGTAGTCTATCAAATCCCGTGCCAAAACTGTCCTTGCCACTACACAGGCCAGACAGGACGACGTCTCAGCTCACGAATACTTTAGCACAAACGGGCCGTTCGGAGAGGCGACCCACTATCTCAAGTAGCCACTCACACGCTGGAGGAAGGCCATGAGTTCGGCTTCGCCAACACGCGGATATTGGCGCGAGCCGGCAACAAGGCAGAGCGAGAGCTGTTGGAGGCGTGGGTGTCGGACACCAACTCTATCAACAGACACATCGATTTGCCTGCGTGTTATCACGCGCTCCGCCCACGCAGTCCGTACTGAACGCCATCAAGCTTGCGTTTGTGAACTTTGACGAAGATGCTTTCTCAAAGACATTCGGAACATTCATCCGGCCGCATTTGGAGTACGGCACACAAGCATGGAGGTCGTGGGCGGTTGAGGATCAAGACTGCCTCGAATGAGTCGAGAGGAGAGTCACGAAGATGGTTCGGGGTCAAAGCTCCTTTCCCTATCCAACCCGCCTAGTAAATCTTAACCTCTTTACTTTGAGTTACGGGCAACTTCGCGGGGATCTATTGAAAGCCTTCCGCATTGTAAAGAGGTTGGATTGCACTTTGGCCCTTCGCGCAGATGCTGGGATGTCATCGTCTATACAAAGTTTTAAAAAGAATCTTGACATATTTATGTTCCTAAATGACCAAAAGCGATGAGAAGTAGAGCTCACCCCCTGTAACTCCTTCTCATTTTGTCCTACCATTATGGGCGCGTTTGAACATTTATCTGTATACGACGAATTTTTCATGTTGCAAATAGGGCACTCAAAGGCTTACGCCTATTGCACTCAATAAACTGAACTGAATTGAACTGAACTAACCGCGATTAGCTGGACGAACAAGCTATTTTTGACGGCCAAGGAAAGATATATGTACCATCTTAACTATATAATTCAGTCTAGGATTCAAAGTGAGGCAGTCAAATGCACGTCCATTGACACTACCGTCGAAGCAGACGAGGCAGTTAACTATCCCAAAAATTTTTTGAATTCTCTTCATCTGCCAGGGATGCCGCCGCACGTACTGAAATTGAAAATGGACCTGTCGATCATCATTTTTCGTAATATAAACTAGCCAAAGCTTTGCAAATGCACGCGGCTAGCAGTAGAAACATTAATGAGCAACGTCGTGGAACCGAATATATTGACAGGACCCTTAAAACGTGAACATGTCCTTAGTCTTCGCATTCCACTGATTCTAACTGACATGCCATTTCAATTTAGGCGACTGCAATTCCAGATTCGATTGGCGTTTGCAATCACCATCAACAAATGCTCAGGGCTATTCTTTGGAAATATGCAGTTTGGATCCGCAAACGGACTGTTTTTCACATGGCCAACTATACTTTGTGTGCTCCAGAGTCGGCACACCAGACGATCTCTATATCTGCACAGAGAACGCCACGATAAAAAATATTGCATATCCACAAGCGTTATGGAATTAAAAATGCTATAATACCCACTTCTTCTTTTCTTTCTTATCCATTTTATCAAAATGAGCCACATCAACGCGTGACCGGGTCCAGTTAGTCAATAACAAACCTATACTAACACAAAACCGTAACGTTTTACTACGCCGGACTTCAAGTGGGAGAATCAATAGTTAGTCGTAATGAGCGTAAGTTGTTCTTTTGTATGTGGCCATGTACAGGCTACAGATTACACGTTTATTTATATTCCACTCTTCTTTAGTACTATAGCTAGCGTGTTTTAGGTCCGAGTTGGCTTTTTCGGACGCATTCATTACAAAGCCTAGCGTTCGGCGAAATCGCGCTTGTGCACACAACATATGATCGTAGTCCAGAGCTGAGTGCTTTGTGACCTTGGTTCGTTATTAGCAACTCGTTTTTCTGCACGGACAGATTCTAAACTAATGTACTTTATTGCCCATATTATCACAAACAATTTGGTAACGAGGCGATAGCGACTCGCTGTGGAAAAGTCGCGATAGGTATACCTACCTACCTACCTACCTACCTATCGTCGCTCTCACCCAAAATGGAGCTTGGCCTACTCCGCTGCTTCCTCAGGACGTCTAGAGATCTTTTTGGGCGCCTGGTAAAAGCGGCCTCAAACTAATACACATCCACTCGGCCGCCTTTGTCCCACATCGCGTAGACGTCTATTTTGCAGCCGTTTATAAACATAGTACGTACCTTACCTCCAGTTACATAATATGCCCATGAACAGCACGGACCGTTTTTGTCATCATTCCCCTGAAATTAAAGTTAAATGTTGTCTCGTCATTAAGGAGGGCATAAAGTGCCCTCTTGACGAAGTCATCGGTGTTCCGGCCTCCAAGGAAGGCCGAGAAAGCAATCTGAAAATGGTCCGTAAGAACTAGTTAAGCCTTATCAGGTCATTTCGACATTTAGTGTCTTGAAGACGTCGATTAACTTCATTAAGGACTTCTCCCATTCTGATAGGTTGTGTAATCGAATAAGTGGGCATTTTGGCCGTCGAATCCGTAGATGTAGGCGGCTGATTGACTGTCAGCAAGCCCCTGGCGTGCAAGCGTTCGTGCAGTTTCAGGCTACCTTTTGTAACTAGCTCGCCTTGTGGCGAGCTGGCCTGCGTGTAGGCAGCGTATCAAGCCAGTCATTGTCTGATACATCGGAATCCACCGCCTCCTAAGCAGTTTGTAATGTGATATGGTAGGACTTACCATGGACGACAATGGAAGGTCATCGGGCGACCATATGTAATCACCGTATCGATTTTCGGTGTATGCACGTCAACTGCTTACGTACACCAAGTCCTTCGGGAAGTGGGCCTCTGTTGTGTTGGCGCAGAAGCCCAAATTTGCGGTCATGCTGTTGACTACTAACTTCTAGGTCTGTTTCACTTAGTCGCCTAGCTATCTGTGGCAAGGACCTGGATGGACTTCACAACAGCTTTTTAAGTCTACCGAGGCAACTCTCGAAGGGAAAAGATGAGGGGGAATCCAATGCCCCCTGGCGTTCAACATCATCAGCAGTATGCATGATGTTGTGAACATTATAAACCATTTTATCCTATCCATAGAGCACACCAAACTTACGGGTAAAATGTTTCAGTAGCTGTCTTCCGTGGCCTATGCCATCTATACCTAGGACGGGTGCGGCAGTGTCATGCCAGTTGGAATTATTAATTAATCTCAGTCTAATTAGGTTGCAATCTGCCAGACCTGACAATCATCCACAAGGGCCAGCCTTACTCTTTCAAATCCAAGGGTTAAGTGAAAGTTACTAACTATCCAGACGTCAATATGGAAAGGGGTAAAAAAAAACCCGACTGCTGCGGAGTAGTCTGCCCCGTCGAAAACATGGAGACCCCACAGCACGTCAGCTTTAGCTGTGGGGCCTTTCACATAACCATGACTTGTGAAGCCAATGAGTCGGCTCTTCTGTGTGTATTGTTTGTTGATCCATGTTCACTGTGAATTTGAACAACAAGTACATATTAATTTAGGTTTTATAAGAAATGCCTATTTTAACGTCATGTAACATTTAATTCAGTAAGTCCTCCTAGAAGTTGCTTATAACAGTAAGTGTGCCTATATTCTTTATTTATAATTCATGGTGCAAGTGTGAGAAGCCTTGCACAAACGGCTTTTTCCCCGATTTATCTCGACATCGGAACGCAATATGCTAGGGGATGTGGTTTACTCATTGGTGAGTGGATATGGATCAGGGAAAAGCCTGTGATTTTTAGCAAACAACGAAATGTAGTTGAATTAGAAGTTTTGCTCTGTTAAGCCTTTTAATGCCTTCAGAAACTAGTCAGCAAACGTTGGGTAGAGCTTTTGGCAGGAATCATGTTCTGGCCAGGTCCGAAAGTTGTTGTGAATATTTGAACTGGAATTAATCAGCCTCAGGGTACCCCATCTATGAGCCAAACCCCTTGCTGTCATGTCATACCGCAGCAAATTGTCAGCGGAAAATATGGGGATTTAGTACCTGCACTGACAGTCGGACATGCACTGTC